TCAAAGCGAGTGGAGAATTCACATTGGCAAGACATGAACTTAAATTACTTATAAAAGATTGTGAATGACTGACAGATCAGTCATTGCTCACTGCAAATTTTGAAAGAGCAGGCAACTGCAGGAATAATTGCAAGCTTTCACTGCCTTTAGATGAGGTTCTTGTGGTTCTCTGAATATCTCCAGGCAAGCTTCTTCTCTCTACTTCTGGTTTCTTATCTAGGTGATAGGATAAATGTCTGGCTGCCCTTTGAAGCCACCTGGAAATCCACTGACGAATGGTAATAATAGCATGTTGCTATATTGATTGCTTTTCCTCCAGTTGCTCCAAAGACCTTCCTGAATATGTATGCAGGGGGGCAGCCGCTGGTGACACCATTCTTACTCCTACATGCTACACCAAACTGCAACACAGTGCAAAGGACAAGCACTGTAAGCATCTCTTCTCTCAAAATCTTTCATTGCTGTTGACCTCTCACATCCAATTCTTCTTACAAGAACCACAGATTTATTGGCGTTACTTGTTTTTAGTGGAGTGAAAGCTGTTGAGAAAAGGCCTGTGGTCTGTCTGAGGATGGTAACATGTAAGTTAGTAAGTTCAGTTCAGTTAGCAAGTTCATGTAAGTTACCAAGTTCAGCAAGATTTTTTGGTTGTTTATGTAGTCCCATTCTTCTTGGCAATTGTATGGTAAGCCTGAGTTTGACATCTATGAATTGCAAGCACTCTCCTATCTCTCTTAGTCCAGTGCAGCTCTGGGTCTTTCCAGAAAGGCCCCAAGAGACACATATGCAACAACTGAATGCCATCCCAAGGAGCCACAGACTGAGATGAAGCAAGCGCTGTCTCTTTCCAAAGCTAAGTCAATAGAGAGAGCTCAGCACTGCCAATGAGATCTTTTAGCTGGTGCCTAAAAACCAATCTCAGGCAGCATTTGGTATCACAAACTATACATACATGACTGAGACCACCTGAACAGGGCTACAAGCTTTCATTAAGGATATGTGAAAGCATCTCTGCATTGCACCCATGTAAACATTTCACCAAGACCCGCTGTCAGTCCAAATCACAGCCTAGGCAAGTTTACAGAAGCAATGAGCTTCCACTCTTAAATCAAAATCACTGCCTTCATCATCCCTTGGGCTTTCTGACTAGCAGGGGAGGGGAGACATTTTACCAGAAACTAAGAGAAAAACCACAAGACAAGTGTGGTTGCTGCACTAACCAATCTGTTTTCTAAAAACAGCTTAGATCAATCTTTCAGAGCTAAGAGGAAGGTTTACGAAGTAAAACCCGAAGAGTTACTGAGTCATCCCCTTAATCAGTTCTAAGAGCTGAAAATATACACTAAACAAACACGGGCCCAGATATATCACCTTTCCCCCACAAAACCGAGATAGGTGCCTAAAGGTGAAACAAATCTCCAAATCAAATCATTTGAAAAGAGATAACTTCACATAGCATCTCTACACTACCGTGGTTCCCAATTTCATTCAGCGTCTTTCATCAGGTCTTGAGTTTTAGCTAAGAGTGGGCTAACCTGAAAATAAATAAAAAAAAATAAAACATTAAGATTTGACATGGGTCCACTAGTCAACAAGAGTGGGTACATTTTGCCAGGAAACACAGCTGGCCACATGAGCTGTGTCTACAGATTAGCATTCCCACATACCAAGGCTGGCTTCAAACTATTTCAATTAAGGGCTAGTTCTGCCTCCTTTAGAGGCAACAATATCGGGAAGTCCATCCCTTAAGCAAACTAAGCCTTTCCCTTCTCAAATTAGCATATTGTTTTCTGGGAAAATTCTAAGGTGCTAAGAGAGGCCTCTTCTCAAAGTGGAAGAACACATCCAGGCAAGCCCTCACTCAGCCCTACAGATAAGGAGGAAGGGAGGCTCCCTGGCTAACAGGGGAGCCACTTGCCCTTCTGAGACCAAACACAGGCCATTCTCATCACTGGCAGTATCAGTCCTTGTCCTTATCACAAGAAGTAATAGGTAGTAGTGTCACAATGCTCGCTGATACTAACCATCCCAATGCAAAGCCAGAGGTACAAGTCATCAGTAGCTTGGACCAACACCACCACTAAACACTCAAGAGAAGTAGTAGATCAGGATGATAGGAGAACTTGCTTTGAATGCTCTAAGAGATTTGATCAATTTTTGTCAGATATTTAATTGCAAGAACCTGTTCTCGAGCTTCCGTTTTCAGGGCACTTGAATCACCCTACAGAGGAGAGCATTTATGTTTTTTAAAGAGAGGCGACCAGATAAGCAAACAGTCAGGCGAGAAGAACAAGCACTTCATCTTGTATCTTTGAAGTCTCTTCCACCACACCCAACCTCTCTAAGAATGCACTTCCTGGACACGTTTTCTTTTTCTGATAAAAGTATAAAATGAGCAATGAATGTGGGAAATGTACTTTTTCCATCCCCAGAAGCAGAACGCATTTCTTGTAAATCATGAATTGCCACCTTCCACAGTTCCAGCCTGATGAATAGTCCACAGAAATCAAAAAGCAGCTCTTTCCTGAGGTTTGGCTTACTTAGACAAACAAATCAGAAACATCCTGGGAACAAAGCTCTCTACATCTTAAGATCCCTACTCAGACCAAAGCCAGTTTCTTTTGCCTCTATTGTAACTATAGAAATGAATGGCACGCCTGCATCCAAGTCAATAAAAGCGATTCTGTACTTTTCCAGCACCACAGGTTTTCAGGTAAACACTACTGGCCTGCTAAATATTTAACATCACTTACCTTTCAGTAAAAGAAAAAAGAAAAAAAAAAGGATCATTTCGAATAACTATTCATGTCACATCAGATACGTCAGAACTTAGCAATACTATAGGACAGATAAATGAGTCAGTTATACTTGAGGTGAGGAAGTTTTCTTATGAAATTACCTACTGACCTCAAGACAATGAATTAGACTGCGTGCAGATTAAATTTGTCCAAACACTTTTGTCCCACCTCAGGATTTTTTTCAGTTTTTTATATATTTATATATATATATGTATATATTTTTTTTAATGTGGAGTGCCTTCAAGAATACTTACAAATCAACAGCACAAATATCACTGAAAGAACAGCCCCTGCTTGTTAAAAGCCTCTCACCAACAGCACCTATTTTATACATAAGCACAGAGTACACACTCATGCTCTGTTACCTTCAGAAGCCCAAGGTGCTTCTATCCCTTTGTTAGATGACTCAGTTAACAACACCCAAAAAGGAGTGCCAGGCGGGCAGATTGGGCTGATGTGAAGGACCAAATCTCATCAGCACTTTTTCCCTTTGTAATCACCTTTTATAAAGAAGATGAAAATGCAGAAAGCTTTGCAGTTTGGCTCCTCATATTAAAAAAAAAAAAAGACAACTACACTAGCCGTAATAGATGCATTCAGATGGCATCATATCCAGTATAGTCTCAGCCTAATTAGTTGCTCACCTAAACAGATACCATTTCAACTTCCCATTGCCTAATAGAAATCCAATCCTATTTCCACTCTCCATCATCATTTCATACTCTTTATTACTACACAACACACAGCCTCCTCTTTCTGCCATTTCTCAGCACAATAAGCTATTTTGAGGCCTCCAGGGACCACTTTCTGCACAGAGCAGGAGCAGAGCAAACGATCTGCTGGCCCTCCCTTGAAGCGCTCTGTTAACCACAGGATGAATTTCCCAGATTTTCCTCCCACAAAGGTGCAACTGGAACCAACAGAGACAGACTGAAGCTGGGAACCAACCACTAAGACCCTATCTGCAATGACTTGGAGAGAGGATATAATCACCTACTCCAGCATCATACGTGCAAGAGTGACCATTAGAAAAATCGCAAGAGAGATTTAAGAGCAGGGCAAGCTTGCACGATACTACAGAACATTATCAACTACTCTCTCAGCGCCCTTCAACACAGGCAGGACTGACACGGTTCATCTGCTTACTAATCCTCCACAGAGGTTTGCCTTTGAAATATGTATACAGCCCCTCCCCACATCGTTGTATGTCCTGCTTCCATATTTCATCTGAAATAATCACATCCTTTTGTCTGTTGTGCTTGATTCCTTCATTACTAGCGTTTGGCTTTTGTACAGTGGAACACATGCTGAGCAGCTAATCCCAGCCCAGCTTCTCTGGCTGGACAACAGCACAGGTCTGTGCTATCTGCTGTCGGTCACCACTCCTGCAGTGGAAGAGTGTTCATGTACTCTGCTCTTCCCTGTAGGGAAGCTCTTCCACAGACCCACACCTCCTTCAATCCCAACACACTCTTACCTGAGCAGACACCCAAACTGCATGCAACAGTGAGGTGGGGGCACGCAGTGGGTTTATCCAAGCAGCACAGAAATGATCTAATTCCCCTCAGTTCCTCTCCTACTGAAAGGGACTACAGGGTTCATCTGCTTTCTGACTGCTGCTGCCTACAAGCTCAGTGCTCAGCCAGGACAGTCTGTCGTAACAGTTCTCTTCCTGAAAGATCAGTTGCAGTCAGCTCAGAGCTCATCTTTTCAATTGTGAAATGAGAACAGTCTTTCCCCAAGCGTGTAACTTGTATGGACTTTCATCAGTGCTTAAATTGACTATACCTGAGCTGCCAGAACAGAAGGCAGGCAAGAAAAATAACAGAAAACATGAGATTTTTTGGAGAATTGAAATTCTTTCATATAGGGACAACAGAAGAATAAAAGATCCTCTGTGTGAGAAATTGTTCAGGTAACGATATGGTCGCTAAGTCGTGCAAATTCTAACTCCTATTTGAGGCACAGCCACCAAATACAGGCAACCACATGGTGCATGACTCAAAACACGTTAGGATCACCCACAAAAAAAAAAAAACAGCATGGAAAGTGAGCATGAGCAGTGAAACAGAAGGGAGCCTCCATCTCATACCTCACAGAAGGACCTTCACCAGTCTCACGGTATTGCTGTGCTAAATCAGTTTTATCTCAAGCTTGGTTTTGCCATCAGTATTTGTACCACAGACAGTAACCACCAAAACGTGTAATTAACATGTTTATTCAAACAAGATACATTAAACCCTTCAAGAAACACATCACAGCTCGGCCTCAGCATATTAGATTTTCCCACTTAGCTTCCCTACAAGACACATTTTGTCACAACAGCACAATCAGACTAATGGCTATGGCAGAGAATCGTGTGTGATGCGAGAACAGGCTAAGAGCAAAGACCATTAGGAGAACATATTGCTGGGATTACAGCCCAGCATGGATTGTTATGAAATTGATGAGAGAAGGAAGCTTTCTCCAACAGAACACAAGTATACAGTATAATTAGTACACATTTTGCATTAATATTTATAATTATTAAAAATAGAAAAACATTAGTTTCAATTGGCTCTCTACAATACCTATAAGGTAAAGCCATAAATGGACTAACTCTGCTTAGGTGAAAAATGCTAGATCTCTAGAATCGACTAGAGCCCAATTCAGCAGACAACTTAGGCATGTGCTCAAGCTCTACTGACACTAGCGGGGCTTACAAACAGTTAAGTATCACAATCAACAAAGAGAGATTTCAACACACATCAAGAGCTAAGTACATGCTAATTATCTCCAGTGAATCAGGATCATAATCCTTAAAATACGACAAAGTTATATACACTATGTAAATCACAATATTTCTCCCTCAATCTACTGTCCAGACAAAAGAAAACCCCTCTGCTGGGTACAAAACCACCCAATACTGTCCCCTGAATAAGCATGGTTCTCAGGTTTTATTAACAGCTCCAAAAGTATGAACACATCAGTGCTAGGGACAATTCCTCTTAACTGTTCTTTTTTGCCCCAGTGTAGAATTAAAATTTCATATGTGATTTAGGAGTTCAAGCCAACTCATTTCTTCTTCAGTTCATTCCCAATCTACTCATAGATGCTCGGAACTATACAAGTGTACAACAATGCCAATGATTATATACAATCATGCACAGGATACTGGAAGGAAGCCACAAAGGTATATAAATAAAATTCCCATTTGAAAAAAAAATATATTTCTCTTACACTTAATATTGAAGTGTTATCACAGACAAAAAACTCTGCAGTGTTGTCACATATCAGCCATCTCCAAACAAGACTGACTGTAGAATCATCTTTGTCCAGAAGTTAGCTTGTCATAGCTATAAAATCCAGGTATCCAGGCAAAGGTTCCACATACTTGGGAATGAAACATTCCCATCTGCTCAGAGGAATTTAATTGTTGGTTTGTTAGATTGTTATGGCTTTTTTTTTTTGTTTGTTTTTGTTTTTTTTTTTCCCTAAACTTACATAACCCACTATATGATAGTGAACAAAATACTTTTGTTTCATAGAAACAACTAACATTTGCCAACACCAGGCAAATGGTCTATTTACAGATACATTAGGACTGCCTGACTGACAGTGAGTGTACGGTAACTCCAAGTAACATGGAGCTCAAAACAGCGACGCTCTCTGTTGAACTGTCTTCCCTTTTAGGATACGTCTTATCTAGACAAAAGAAAAAGACAAAACCATTAGCACACATCATCCTAAAGTAAACTAATCTAAAACAAACAAACAAAAAAAACAACGCTAGAAGTCCAGTTCAACTCTCTACTAGGATAGATAATGGCATGACAAAGGAAATGGCTTTTAAAAGTTGAAGGAAGGGAAGATTTAGGTTGGATGTCAGGGGGTAATTCTTTACTACGAGAGTGGTGAGGTGCTGGAACAGGCTGCCCAGAGAGGTTGTGGATGCCCCGTCCCTGAAGGTGTTCAAGGCCAGGTTGGATGGGGCCCTGGGCAGCCTGATCTAGTATTAAATGGGGAGGTTGGTGGCCCTGCCTTTGGGGAGAAGGGAAGAAGGTTGGAGCTTCATGATTCTTGAGGTCCCTTCCAACCCAGGCCATTCTGTGATTCTGTGAACTCTGTATTCCTCATTTATCTGAGTCTAGCTTCCAAGTTCAGCTATTTCAGAATGGATCCAATTTTACAAGATTTGAACCAACAGAATTACTCAGATTATTAGCTTCTTAGCTCAAGAGCCATCTTTTTTGGTCACATATTTGTACAACTGCTATTTCTTCATCTGTTTTTCAAGCCTAAGAACTGCCATTTTTACTGCTTGTTGTAATTACTAACATGACCTTACATCATACTGAGATCAATACAAGAAAGGAGATGACCTCCCATATGCTGCACATTTATGGAAAAAATACTTCTAAATATTATTTTCATGGGAAAAAAGCTTCTGAGATGGGGAAGAAGATACAAATTAAATTTGTAGTTTCAGGTCTCTGCATATTCTTCCTGATCCTAACATTAAAAGATACCTCAAGAAAACACCATCTGCAGGAACTTTTCCCTAGAAGTTACAAGAGCTCAAAACTTGGAAAATTTTGAGAAATACAGCTTCTGTGTTGGTGCAGGAGGACAGGGGCTAAAAGTTTGGGGATTTTTTGGGTGGGCTGTTGTGTTTATTTATTTTACCTGTTCTCCTACAAGGCCATCAGGAACCAAGTGAACTGGCTGTTCATTTTCCAAATTTCTGGCACTTGGATCAGCTCCCTTTCGCATTAGCAGGCGAACTGCATCCAGCTGACTCACCCGATACTGCAGGCTGGCAGCCACATGGAGTGCTGTGTTGCCATTGTAAGCCTGGAAAAGACAAAGTAAGACCATGAAAAAAAAAACCAGCAAGGGGCATGAGTTGCAGTTCAGTCACAGTGACAGGTGTACACATCCTGGATTATATCTACCTACCTTTGCATTAACGAAAGAGAGGCAGTTTGGCAGCTCCAAGAAGAGACGAATGAGCTCCAGATTCGCTTCCTCTGCTGCCAAATGTAAAGCGGAGCGGCCACTTTTGCGATCCTACCAAAAAAAACAAAACAACGTTGAGCAATAGCACTTATTTCACTGAAAGTCTGTCTGGACAGGAAGCAGTACTTGACAACAATTTACAGTTCAAAAGCAGTGTATCATCAGCACCCTATTACTGCAACGCTCCAAACGTATTCTTAAATTTAATGCACAACCAATTCCAACCGGCATAGTATCATTCTTAGTCCAGAAATTAGACTGTCACCTCCCTTTTCCCATGGTTCATTTGCATTGATAATGCCTTGTTTTTTTAATAAATGCAACATTCGTATTCCACTTAGGTAAATTAAGCTGTAGGCTGCTTAGGAAGCTTTCAAATGAATCTACTTCCTTCCTGTTAAGTGGGCTGAGATGTGGCATGGGAGAAAGGGGCACAATCCACTTCCATGCCTCCTTCGGATCTGGCATTTTACACAAAAATTGTTCTACTTACTTTTGCTTCAACAGAAGCTCCCATTTGTATCAGAGTCTTGATGGTTTCGACCAGGCTCTTGTTTCTCAGCAGAAGTTCCTGAACCTCAGGGGAGTGAGGTGGTTGACAGTTTTGTAGTTCATGCAGCACAGCATTATGGGCCAGAACAGCACAGTGCAGGGCTGTCAAACCTTAACATGAAAAATTCAACATTAATGAATGTAATACAAAATTCTTGACTGGCTGTTTGCTTCCACATTTCTAAGTAAGAATGACTACTACTCCTGAATGGCTCAGGATTTGAGCTGTTAGTCACTCTAAGTGACAAGCCACATAAGGATCTCTGTTAAAATACTTCTTTAGAGAATGTTCTTCAGGAAGATCTATCGCATGGAAAATAGGTTCAATTAAAACAACTCTCTGGTGCTAGAGATACTGCATTCTGTATCCAGCAATATACCACTGCCACTTACATTTTAAACAACAGCCTATTATCATCTATCCTTCCCATGCCAAACACATCAATCACATGCAAGAGAGAACAGGGAAAGATCTCAACAGGCACAGGTTAGCTGTGCTTTTATCTGACAGATGTGCCAACTGTAATGCAATTTCAATTCTAATTGTGAATTTGAACCTGGCAAAGATACAATCCATTTTATTGCTCTTTTCCCAGGATAACATTCACATCAGCAGCTATAAAACCCCGTACCACCCAGCAAACTGTAAGTTATAAATCCCAAACTACTCACCGTCATAGTTCGTTGCCTCAAGGTCCACATATTGATTGCTACCCATGGCCCCCTTTTGGATCGCCTACAAAAGTGGGAACAGATATGCATTTAGGTCTACCTAAACCACATACTGCTTCCTCAAGCTTGTATACAGTCTTCCTGCAACAAAGTTGCAGTCAAGAATGGTATTAAACATTTAAGACTTATTTATTGTTTTCATATACTACACTACCTAATTCCTCACTGGTGGGAATCTTAGAGCAAGAGCCATCCTCACTTTAAACCGTTAATGTAGAGTCTAAGACATATCGAAAAGGCTTACACAGGAAAATGATAAGCAGAGGTGCAGTTTTTTTGTAGCCCTCCAAAACTGCTAATACTGAGTTAGCACTACGGATACAGCAGAGCTGTATCTGCCTCATTCTCACCTGAAGGACCTGGGCATGCCCCTTCTCAGCACAAACATGCAATGGCGTTCTACCCCAGCAGTCTGTGGTGTTGACTTGAGCCCCCAGGCTAACCAAATCCTGCACAATGAGATGCTGGTTGGCAGCCACAGCAACCTGGAAAGCACTCTGCAAACATTGAGAAGAAAATTTCAACTATTAGTCATCTGATCTCTAACAGGAAAGAGCAACTAGAACAAATAAAAAGCCTAGCTACCCAGTATTATTTAAGCAGTGATTATGAATACCAGGAAGCCAGGACAAAAAGTCGAGTGTATAGTTTTACCAGCTCAAGGTGATCCCAAGAAGTATTAATAGCTCAAGGTTAATATTAGTATGCAGACTAAATCTCGGGGTTAATATTAAATAAGCATTTCACCACATTTTCCTCAGGGTCCAGACATCAGAGCACTCGGGTGCACAAAGCGGGTGGGAAGAGTTCAAGAACCTCACCTGGCCATTGTGCTCTTTAATATCCAACATATGCAGAGCAGCCATTTTCCTCGCAAGAACGTAGGAGAGAGCTCGTCGGCCCTGGGCAACAGCAATGTGAAGGAAGCTGCATAAAGAGGGAAAACAGTTAGACAGCCACACAGACTGGGGCTCAAGTCACTATGCAATTCCAAATGTACGTTGTGGGAATGGCTTCATAATGTCGGCTTCAAACTTCATTTGAGTGACTAAGATGGAAAATCAGGCACCTTCCTCCCAAGGCAATTTAAAGCATCTGAATTACAATCTTTTTTCTCTCAATTTACCAGATAAAAATCTAATAAGTACCTGACGTGAGATAATACAACTATCTTATCTACTACATATGCTGCAACTGCATGCATCACAGCCCATCAGCAAGACCACAGCTGGTGAAACTACTGCACTCATGGCACAAGCACCACTAAGAAACAACTTTCATTACAACTTAGTGGTCTGCCAAAACCTGAACAGAAGTGTTCTCCAACCTTCTACTTCAGAAACAGTGAGATAAGGGCTACTCACGTGTCTCCATCTGAGTCTTTTGCTAGGAACTGGTCTTGAGAGATGTTTGCCAATTTGTTTTCCTCCTGCTCCACTTGCCACTGGAAAAACGACTTGCCCAACTGCGTTGTGTTTCTGGCAACACTTTGGGGTGGTAGAGAGACATTTAAAGTGGCCAAAGAGACACTGCGTTCAAGACTACTGCAGACATTATTGGGAGCCAGGCTGAAGTTCTGGGCGTGGGGGCTGACAGTAGCCTGCGGGTGGGCACTGGTCAAGGACTGGAGGGGAGCAGAGATGTTCTCCGAGCCTTCAGAATCGTTCAGGAGGGAGGAGAAACTTTGCGACGGGCAATACTGCAGTTCATGGCCCTCGAAGGCGTGCTGGTGGTAGCCTGGAGACTGATCATTGGCAGAAAATGGCCTGTACTCCAGAGATGCATCCGAAGTGTAGTTCTGTGACAAATCCTGGTTCTGCGATGAAGGAAACTGGTAATGCTGCGGAGGATCAAGCATATTCTGGGAGGCGTGATCTTGGAATGGTTGGTACTTCTGGGGTGGGGAGAAAGCCTGTGCTCCCGGACTGTCGTGGTATTGTTCGCCAGGTGAGTTGTGGCTGGAGACACCGTGCAACCAGCTAACCTGCACGGTATTCAGGGAAACAGGGCTGGACTCGTTCTTAATGTTTATGATGTTCTGAAGCAGATCAGAACTGCTGTCATGCTTTGGTTCGTTTTTATGCGTCTCTTCCATGTTATCCATTGAAGTAGGGGTCTGGGGTGGTGTCTGTCAGAAAAAGCAGCAAAACAAGCCCCGCAAAGTCAGAGGTATTGTTTTAGGAGATACTTTCTGATTACAGAGAAACAGGCACAGAGAAAATACTACTTCAAGCTTACCAGGAGATGTGGGTGAACATTAACTTGGCGTTTGAAAGGAGGTCCATCAGAAAGGAGCTCAGGAGCCTTTCTTTTGCCACCCTGACCTAGAACGCTCTTCAACTCTGCTAAAATAAACAAATGTATCAATAAATAAACAATTATTCTTACAATCTATTTTTTTTTAAATATTATTGCAGGGTATTTAGAAATGTTCAGGTGTTTGTTTTCTCTTACCTGTATACGGTTCGTAATTCACCAATCCTCCTTGTGCCTTTTGAGGGGAAAAAAAAAACAACAAAAACAGATTATTCAATCATTATAACGCTATTCCAAACAAAACAAAACAAACAGAAGCAGAAGTCTGCTTCTATAAGCATAGAATATGTCTTCAGAATAATCCTAGCACAGGACAGTCAAGCCTTAATTTAATTGTTTCCAATTGAGGTTAGAAAACATCAAGAGTTTTATGCAACTTAAATGAAAACTGCCTTTTTTCTTAAGGCTTTTTTAATAAGCTATTTGTTGCAATACCACAGAACTCAAGAAAACGCAGAGGAAGACAATGTTCCCCAGTGAGGTCACAAGATTTTTCTTTTTTTTTCTTTTTTTCTTTTTTTTTTTTTTTTTTTTTCAAATGTGAATTAGCCTGCTCATCTTCTCTCTCTAATACCGTGAACTTTTCTATGCAAAAAGTTTCCAGTGGCAACACCAGTGTAGGAAACTCCAACACGCTGTCAAAAGGCAGACTGTGAGGAAAAACTCTCTCTAAGCCTCTCAGCGTTTCTCCCATCCTCCTATTTTCCAGACTGCGGTCTGTCTGCCCTTACACAGGAGAAATGCAATATGCTGCTATGTAATTCTCCTCAGAGAAGCCTCTCCGCTCCTGAAACGAATGACCTCATGTGGGCTAACAGGGGTTGTCTAAGCACAGAACACAAACCCATCTTTATCTGAACTCTCCTCAAAAAACAAGGCTCAGAGAGACGGTCAGGTGCCCCACACAGAAGCTGTCTTGCCCATCTCCTCCCAGCTCACTTCTTCCACAGAGCGTGTTGAAAAGGAAGAATTATGACTCCATCCCCATCAGATAACACCAGAAACTTTATCGCATGCCTTCCCTCACCAACCTCAATCACGGTTAAACCCCATTATGTCAGCCCTGAAAAACGCTCATTACCTTGCCTTCATCCGCAGCGGGGCCCGAGGACATCTGCTTGCTGCTCCTGAAGTGCAGCAGGAGCTCCTTCACCGAGTTCTTCACGCGGACCCCCTGGAACGGCCCTCTGTGCTGCTTTCCTCCCCCCATGTGCTGCTCCGCTGTAGAGAGAGCATACGGAAGACGGCGCTTAAGCCGCGGGGTCGGCATTCGCAGAAGCGGACGAGCCCGTGGAAGGCACCCAAAGTCGCTGCCGAGAGCCTCATCAGGCCCGTCCCGCTGCCCAAAGGGCCGGAAAGAACCCGAGCGCGGACCCGCGGCCGCCGCCACGTCCGCTCCCCACAGCCCCGGTCCCGCCGTACCTTGCAGCGCGGGGCGGGCGCCTCCCCGGCCGTCCCTCCGGCCGCCGCCGCCGCGGCTGCTCACCGAGAGGTCCGAGTCCGAGCCCGGCGAGCCCGGGGCGGAATGCGCCGGCGAGCAGCTGCCCTCGCTGGAGTGGGGCGAGGCGCCGTAGAAATAGGCGAGGTTAATGGGGCTGCTGAGAGCCCCGCCGTCGCCGTCGGGCGCTGCGTCCCGGCTGCTGTCCACGATCATGGCGGTGCCGCGGGGCGGCGGACGGCGGAGAACGGCGGGCTGCGGCGCGGCGACGGGCACGTCCAGGGCTGAGCGGGCGGCGCGGCGGGGACTGGCAGGCGGCGGCAACCGCGCCGCGCTTATAGCGGCTCCGCCCCGCCGGCAGAGGCGGGCCCGGGCACGGGCGGGGCCGCGCTTCCCGTAAGGGCGGCGGGGGAAGGCGGGACGCAGCCGCGCCCGGAACGGGGCTGGGGCACGCAGCCAGACCGAGTCACCCCGCAGCGGCTGCCCAGCGCGGAGCAGGCACCGAAGGTGGCTTGTTTTCGTGCTGCGGTGGAGGCGGAGCGGAGCAGAGCGGGGAGGCGAAGCTGTGCGGAGCCTGCATTAAGCACAATCTTTTGCTGGCTTTTGACATCAACCGCGCCGGTCGGTTAACTGTATTCACAGGGCGTACCTCTCCCTTTTCTACCTTTCGGAAAGATGTTTCTGCTGGCTCAGCTGCCACCGTACTCACCGTCACACGAGCCCGTGTTTGGCCGCAGCAGGTTGTGATTAGGATGTTGTTAGCGCTGCGGCTGCCCCAAAAATATGCAGTAAAACACCACTGTATTTCTGAAGGATATTATGCAAATTGGAGGTCTATAATTTAGGTTGTTATACATGTTCTAATTGTGCTAAAAAAACATGGGACAGGTGCAACGTGAAATTATATTAATCAGCTGTGAGGAGGCAGGAGGGAATTACTTTGTAGTATTCAAACATTTTGTCCCCTGTCGAGTGAGGAAAGGGTTTCACTTAGCAGTATCCTCAATTTCCTACTCCAAAAACATTGCTTTTAAGCCACAGATCAGATTTATGCAGTGACAGTAAAATTGGCAAATGCAGCATAGAAAATGAAGTCAAACACTACCAATGCCAGAAATAGCATAGTCTAATAAAGCAAGAAATTCATTTGCTCCCTTATCAGCAGCAGGTTTCAATGAACTGCATTATGCAAGCAAGGACTTCTGAAATCAGGCTATATGTTTTAAACATGTGAGTTTGCCCTCTTGTTCTCCAAACCTCAAGATCTCAGTCATGATACCTTAGCTTCAGGTAGGCACTTTGACTATTTGCTTGTTAAAATGCACTTGCTGAGATCCCTTACCTCTAGGACACGCTTTGCACATTGATGGGTGGATCCATAACATGGCTTTCTGGAAACAAATCTGACTGATCTGATTTTTGCATTGCTGCACTGTAGATTGGAAGCAAATGGTTTTAGTCTGGTCAGAAGGGTCTCCAACTGCTACAGTGAACGGATGTTATCTTTTAACAAACAATAACATGAATTGAAGAACTATGTAGATGAAAAAAAAAAATAGATTTAGTGTCATAGTGATCTGTAATTCCCTTAGAAAAGCCAAGGGTAAAAGTGGATGTCAAACCAGAAGTGGATTTCACTCCTCTTCATTCTACTAGGTCATGCAAGGTCCATAAAAACACATACAGGCAGAGGGAGCAACAGCTTTACCACTGCTATTCCGTAATCATTTTGGATCTGATTTAATTGAAGATTAGCCTCTACGTGTAAACAAAAACTATCCTACGAAACAATATAATGAGGTTTTTACCTTACTGCAAAGAGGTTGTGGAATTTCTATTCTATTTCAAAGTTGCAAGCCTACTGGAGGCTGAACTGTTGATCTGCTGTCATTGTACCACACAAAATCCACTTCAGGCAACACTCTGATACCTCATGATACCTCAGCTCTCAGGTGTTTCATCAGCAACGTCTCATTTATCAGGTCTCCTGACATAAATCTGCTCCCCATCAAAGCAGATTAAGACAGGTCTAATTCCACCAAACTCTGTAACAAAAGACTCTTTCAAAAATACACACACCCAACATTGCACAAGATGAGCCGGCTCCCAGCAACCTCTCAAAGCACTGCATGCAAGTTACTGGCAAATTATTGCTACATTTACAAATTGTAATTATTAATACTGCAGACCTTGAACGTTTCTCTTAGCCCAACCACCACGTAACATTTGTGGTGACCAAAGCTCCAGCAGATGTCTTCAGCCTAAGGAAATTCCTGCCAGGCAGGGTAGCAACCAGAAGGGCTCATCACCTCTTCTCCTGCCAGGAAAGCTGGCAGAGCCTGTATGGACAGCCACGAGCTGGGAGGAGGAGGTCAGTAGGGTAGGTATCTATGAAGGCACTCACCAGGCAGCTTCAGCCAGCTTTGACTGAACCCAGCAAAACCCATGGAGCTGTAGAGCCAAGAAGCCTGTATAGGGGTGGACACCTCAGCTCCCTTAAGCAATGGCCTCCAGGCTCTCATCACCCCTCCTCTTGTTCACTGCGATGTATCAATAATGCCAACTAGTGGCCAACATTAGCAACATTTGCCCTGAATCCTATCTTGAATACAGCAGCAAATAGTGAGATGTGCTTATATTCCTATCTCAGATTGCTGCTAAAATGAGACGCACTGCATCGGTTTTCAAATCAAAACCTCAGCTTCTTTCCTCGCTACCAATTAAACACGCAGATTAATCACTGCTGCCTGTCTCCGTATTGCTGTCTTATTCAGAGTCAGCACCGAGCAAAGACACACTGGAAATGCTATATTGGGCTTTCCCATGGACAAGGCCTGAAATAACTGTGTTCTGGACATGAGAAAATGGCTGACCTACTGCCCAAAATTGAAAGCAGATCAAGAAGCCTTGAAAGCTTCAGAGCTTTAGGGGGTTTCTGTTAAAACACATTTTCATTATTTTCATCACATTTTCTAATCGTAACCACGAGGTTTTCCCTCACTTCTGGGTCCTGGTGCTGAGAGTAGCACTTTAATCATGACAACATAACCTCAGACCAAGAGAGATTTTTTCCTGTCCAGCTTTCAACCATCTCTGGTTTATTCTTTCTCACAAAATGCCTATAGCCTGAGCTGGAAGGGGACTTCCAGACCATATTGCAGCATAATGTTAAAGAAACCAGAAGGAAATTTTTTGTGAAACTGCCTCAGTATTGGATGGGGACAACTGGTGCAATGAGTTCTGCCAGGCCCACAGCACAGGTAATGGAGGGGATCGAGCACTCCCAGCTCTGAAAAACCTGGGCTGCACAGCTCAGGTAGAGGTTTGCAAATGCTTGCAAATTACTTCCTCCTAACACCCTATATCATCCTCTTTAGCTTCATAGGTAAGTGATCACCAATCCAACCCCTACTTTTATATGGTCAAATGACGCAGCCCCACAGCGTACCCTCATATCCTGTTCCCAGGATTGGTAACAGGGAATGTCCATGAGCTCAGTTCTGGCATCACCAACTCCTGAGGATGAAACCTCAGCATGGTTTGCTCTAGGACTGCTCCCTGCAAGCAATTGTACAGGCAAGGCTGTGCCAGTTTACCTCCCGCTATTTTGAATGACTCTCCAAAAGGCATCCTTCCTCATCTTCCCCCTCTGAAAAATCCCCTAGAAGCTGTAGCTCCACGTCACATATGCAGCAACAACTTGCTTCAAAAGTAGCACTGTGTTGGCAGTGATGTGTTATTTCAGGCACTCAGTGTTGAAGAGGGGAAAAAAAAAAAAAACACACACACACAAAAAAAACCCCAAACCAACAACAAACCAAGCATGGAAAATATGTCCTGAGGAGGCCACACAGGGCTCAGAAGAGATCACAGCAAAGGATTATGCTTTATGAATACGGCCAGTCTGCTGTACGGAAATGGACAGCCTGTACAGCATCTGTGCCTGCACTGCCCGGTCCCTGGGGCACACACTGGGGTGAATGCAATAAGGGATATCGACTTCAAATAAATCAACCCCAGAAAGCAGAGCTTTGCTTTCACTTTACAGCAGTACACAGTTGTCTCTGCCAGATATACGGCCACTCCTAATGCACTGGGGAGTGCAAGGAGAGTGCCAGCCCCCAGAGCAGCTCACAGTTTGGTGGGAATGGGAGTGGTCTAAAGCCTCCTCAGGCTAAGTGGCAGCACAGAACAACACAGGACAGCCATTAGGTAAATTGGCAGGGACAAACTAATAGTAACAAGAATTTGGTTTTGCAACACATTTCTGGAATTGTATGACCTCTGTGGTATTTCTTATACTGAAAATAAAAATGGTAGTTTACTGTCCAGTTGCTTAATGCAAGTGAATATTTGCTGTGTGGATGTCAAATGTTGCTTATTCTGAAATAGGTATAATTAGACTCCTGCTACAGGCTTTGAGTCAAGGTGCGTGAATACAGCTGCCACACCTCTGTGTGCCAGAAGCATTTCTATGCAGCGTACAAATTCCAAACAGTCCAACATAACACTGAGTTGGCTTTCAGAACAGCACCAAGAAAACTGGAGATGAAAGCTTAGTAACAACTTCACCCCAGAGACTTGTTCTCCAGGATCAATAAGCATGTTTGCCCTAACAACTTAAGAGACCACGTGTTGGCAGGTTGGAAACAGGCCATGATGCTTTTTTTTTTTTTTCCTCCTCTAAAAGCTAGTACACAGGAGACTGTGTTCCTTCCCTCTGCTCTACTTGTATTGCTACATTTTTCCTAGACATTGGTCTCCATGACTGCCATTCTAGGAT